ACACATCACTGTTACTATATGTAACATCCTTATCTAAATTTTTTCGTTGTAGTTCATATTCTTAAAATTTTATTATATTTTTTCTAAAAATTTCAAAAATGCATGTGATATTTATATTTTTCTATTTATTTTTAAAAGCATTAAATGAAAAAATAAAAGTTGTCGTTCAATAAAAATATTGACATGGTATTTCGGACCATGTTGTATTATTGGTGTAGGAAACTAATTTAACATATGTTGATATAAAATATACAAATAAGTTATGAAAAAATATTTTCATATATATATATATATAATATTTATTAGCTTTATATGCTCACTATGAGTGCTGAATAAAAAAAAATTGTACAAAAGTAATTAATTTATTATTTTATATGTAAAAACTTAATAAAATATCCAATAAGTATTTAGTTATATATATGATCAAAATATTTACTTATTTAATCTATTAATATATAAAGAGGGAATGATATTTATTTGAAAAAAGATAAAAAAAATCAGCAAAAAAAAGAAGTCAATTCTCGCCCAAAGTGAATAAAATGTGAAAGATTTTTAGCTAAAAGTTGAAATTTGAGCGCCATCTAACCAATTTTGAAAATTTTGAAAAAAAAATAAATTAAAAAATCTAAATAAAAAGATTACATAAAGATTTTTTGGAGATTCCATATTATCTAACTTTCATACAATAGAAATGGGACATTTGTCCTATTTTCATTGGTCCACTATAAATTTTATATGATAAGATAAGTATAACTCAAATTATTGATATTATTTTATTTTAAAAAATAAAATAAAAAATACCAAATTTCCTATTTTTTTATACTCTATAAATAGAGACCACTCTTGATATGTTTTGGACCACAATTGAAATTATTATGTTGGGTTAGGTTGTAGATAAAACAATACCAAACAATGTATTGTTGATAAAATTTATTAAATAAATAAATAAAAATAAAATAAATATTATACTATCTTTATTAGGTCACCAAATAAAAAAAAATAAAAGAATAAAAAAATAGCAAAATCCGCGACTCATGTCAAATTGTGATCCCGGATCGCAACCTATCCACAAGGAGGGGAGAGAGAAATGAGGTGAGTGAAATGGGGCAAGTGTCCCATTCTTATTGGTCTATAAAATTTTTCTATAATTTGTAACTCAAATTATTGATATTAATTTATATGAAAAAAATAAATAAAAATTTATTTTTCATTCTCTATAAATAGAGACCACTCTTGATATATTTTGGAACATAATTGAAATTTCTATCTTTTCACTCTTTTTTCTTAATCGTAACTTATCAATTTTATCATATCTTTTATTTTATCATATCACAACTAAAACAATAACAAAAAAAATATTGTAGATAATGTTTAATAAATATATAAATAAATATAATAGAAATATTATGTTGGGTTGAGTTAGGTTGGGTTTGGGATAAAGGACTATTCTACTATGCCTTTTCCAGATATGGGTAGTATTAATTTACGTACGAGCCGTCTGGTTTTGGACGAACTTAACTATGACCGTAAGGCTCTAGCTATTGAGCATGATGCATGGCTAACACATATGACCGATGAACATAAGAGTGTTTATTCCAAAATAATGACATCTGTTCATTCCGCCAGAGGCGGCGTGTTTTTTGTGTATGGTTATGGTGGAACTGGAAGGACATACTTGTGGAGGACTTTAGCTGCTCGACTAAGATTGCACGGTCGAATTGTGCTTTGTGTTGCATCAAGTAGAATAGCATCTCTCCTGTTGCTGAGCGGTCGAACTGCACAATATTCTCGATTTGGCATTCCTATTTCTGTGCATGAAAATTTATCGTGTGAGATCAATCAGGCTAGCCCCCTTGCCGAGTTGATTATTCTCTCTTCATTGATCATATGGGATGAGGCCCCAATGATGCATAAGCATTGTTTTGAAGATGTTCAAGCATCTTTTAAGGCAGTAATGGGAGCCCTCGACCCGACAAATCATCATAAACCGTTCAGAGGCAAGACTGTTTTGTTTGGTGGAGACTTTCGACAAATCCTTCCGGTAGTTCTAAAGAAGAGTCGTCCGGAGATTGCTTATGCTGCTATTAACTCTTCTAGCATTAGGGAGAATGTACTGTGCTTAGGCTTACAAAGAATATGCGTCTTCAGAGCATTGGCGATTCGAATGAACGTGATGAGCTGGCCGCTTTTGCTGATTGGATAGCGAGCATTGGAGATGGAACATTGGGGGGTACAAATGATGGATGTTCTCTGATAGACATACCATATGATCTATTACTAGAGCCATCCGATGATCTAATTGCAAAAATTATTGAAAGCACGTTTATGATGTTCGAGGATGCAACCGACGATCCAAGTTACTTGAAGGATAGAGTTATACTTGCGCCAACACTCGATATCGTAAAATCTATTAATGAATACATGTCGTCGTTAAATTTGACTGAGGGATGCACGTATCTATGTTCAGACAGTACATGTGAATCCGATTCCAATACCGACTTTGTGGCACAACTCCATACTCATGAGTTCTTGAACACTATCAAGTGTTCTAGAACGCCGAACCATGAATTGAATTTGAAGGTCAGAACTCCAGTTATGTTGTTGCGGAATATCGATCACTCAATGAGTCTCTGCAATAGTACACAATTGGTTGTGACTAAACTCTCCAATCATGTTCTCGAGTGTAAAATTCTTACTGGCGATCATGCAGGTGATAAAGTTTTGATACCTCGGATGACAATAACTCCTTCTGATGTTAGAGTACCATTCAAATTTCAAAGAAGGCAATTCCCCATTATGATTTCGTACGCAATGACTATAAACAAGAGTCAAGGTCAATCATTATCGCATGTTGGCTTATTCTTGAAGAAACCAGTTTTTAGTCATAGCCAGTTATATGCCGCTGTCTCACGTGTTACTAACAGAAAGGGTCTGAAAATTTTAATTTGTGGAGAAGAAGGTTTGAAAGAAAATCAAACCAATAATGTTGTGTATAGAAAAGTGTTTAATAATATATGATTTTTGTTTATATTTTGTATTCCTTTATCCTCTTTCTATTATAATTATATTATTAATTTATAAAAATATATTTAAAATAAAGTTTAAAAAAAAGGTTTGAGGAAATAATCCCGCCGTGCTGCGCACGAGTACCATACTAGTAATATAAAAACGAAAAGGTATCGTATGTTTTTAAATATAGTTGTTAAAAAATGCATGAAACTAAGTGTAGAACTTTTTGGGTCGTATGTTTTGTTATATATAACTTAAATTGTGTATCGTTATATTGTAGTATATATAACTACATTTTTTATTAATATTATACTCAAATATATAAATTTTTCATTTCGTATTTTTATTAATAAAAAAATATTATCATAATAATACAAATTAATAGATAGATGAGTAGTGGTAGTATATTGATATAATTTCTTTGTGAAAATTAATTAATGTTCAACATATATAGCGCATGCCATGATTCACGAGAAATTCTTAATTAATTTGTAGATAATTATATGATCAAAATTAAATCATGTTGCTCAAGTGGTACAACAATCAATGCGAACACAAATGGATTGTGTTTTATTATTATAGAGTTTTCATAAAATTGTTCTAACCTTATTTTAAGCAATAAAATTGAGTAGATTAGAAGATTAAGTAAATTGCAGTTAGTTAAATATTATGTAAGTGGATGAACAATGAATTAATGTTGATGTGATGTGTAATAATCAGGGAAGCAAACGAGCCGAGCCGAGTCGAGCATTGGTCTTATCGAGCAGGATTGATTTTATTTTGCTGCTCGAGCTCGGCTCGAGCTAGACTCGAATTCAAAATGCTCGAGCTCGGCTCGAGTTCGATTCAAATTTTTTCAAATAATTTTGTAAAATAACCATTAAATACATATATATACAAGGGTATTTTAGTAATTTCATATATCTTGAGCCGCTCACGAGCCGCTCGAGCTCGAATTGAGTTCGGTCAAACTCGAGCTCGAACCGAGATTTGACTCGAGCGCTCGCGAGCTGCTCGACTCGTTTGCAGCCCTAGTAATAATGATTGACTGATATTATTTAATTATATTAATAATATTAAAAATAATGAAATTAATGTAGAGTCGAATTAAATTGTGAGTATGTATTAAAATATTTTATTTATAAACACACACTAAAATTCTAAAAATGTGGAGAAAATTTTAAAAATTAGAAATGTACACTTCTCTCTCACACCTGGTTATATAATGGCCCCACCCAACCCATTTCTCCAAAACCCTAAAATTTCCCCAATCCCTAATATATATTCTACTCCTTCCATTTAGGGTTTTCTTCACTTCTAGCATCCTTCCGTTCTTTCCCCTCTACAGTCTAAACTCTCCAATCCCTCCCACATTCGCCCGTCCCGATTCCCAAATCCGCCAATGGCGCAAGAGCAGCTCGTCCTCCGCGGCACCATGCGCGCCCACACCGACTGGGTCACCGCCATCGCCACTCCCATCGACAACTCCGACATGATCGTCACCTCCTCCCGCGACAAGTCCATCATCCTGTGGGCCCTGACTAAGGAAGACCGCAACTTCGGCGTCCCTCGCCGCCGCATGAATGGTCACTCTCACTTCGTCCAAGACGTCGTCCTCTCATCCGACGGCCAGTTCGCTCTCTCCGGTTCTTGGGACGGCGAGCTCCGCCTCTGGGACCTCCAGACCGGCGTAACCGCCCGCCGATTCGTTGGCCACACTAAGGATGTCCTCTCTGTCGCCTTCTCCGTCGACAACCGCCAGATCGTGTCCGCCTCCCGCGACAAGACTATCAAGCTCTGGAACACCCTCGGCGAGTGCAAGTACACCATCCAGGACCAGGACGGCCACTCCGACTGGGTATCGTGCGTCCGTTTCTCACCCAACACCCTTCAGCCCACCATCGTGTCCGGCTCCTGGGACAGAACCGTCAAGATCTGGAACCTGACCAATTGTAAGCTCAGATCGACTCTGGCCGGACACGCTGGGTATTTGAACACTGTTGCCGTGTCCCCTGATGGATCTCTGTGCGCCAGCGGCGGGAAAGATGGGGTGATTCTGCTTTGGGATCTGGCTGAGGGAAAGAAACTCTACTCATTGGATGCCGGATCTATTATCCACGCGCTCTGCTTCAGCCCGAACAGGTACTGGCTATGTGCTGCCACTGAGTCCAGCATTAAGATTTGGGATTTGGAGAGCAAGAGTGTTGTTGTGGATCTCAAGGTGGACCTCAAGCAAGAGAGTGGTGTTATTTCTGTTGAAGGGACCCAAACCGCCCCTGGGAAGACCAAGGTATTGCTACTCTCACTATACATATCTGTATGCATATATGTGCAAGCATGTTGGTATATTTTTGTTGCCTTGAGGTTTCTATTGGTCTTGTTTAGGGGTGAAGTCCTTATGAAACATTGGCAGATAAACTTCAAGTATTGTCTCCCAACTAGCCCTAGTCTTATAGATCCTACTTTTTTGAGTTATTGTTGCTATAGCTGTGTGTTCTCTGTTGTGAAATAATCATATTCTTTCTGGTGGAAGTCATCAACTTTGCAGAAGCAATTTTGTTTGAGTTATGTTGTTCATTACTCTATTTATGGTCACATGATGTGTTATGAAATTATATTATGTTTTGTTCTCCTCGAGTTTTTAAAGACTTCTTAAAGTTGTAAGCAATCATGCCAAAGCATGTTTTGCTTCTATTACATGGCAATTATATCTGAAAAACTTTTCCTCCTATTTATGTTTTGAAAATATTCTACTTCATCATATCCTTGGTCCCTTTTAGTTCACTGTTTATGGTGATTTTTGTATTATAATACTGTGAGCATTATTCGAAATAGTTGCCATAAACACTAATATTTGGACCTAACATATTGTGGCTCTAGAATTGCTGGAGGGTTGATATAGTTGGGCACTTGATTTAAGCTCGAACATTGTTCTAGGGCAACACCATTGTTATGTTGCCAGGCTTAATTGTATTGTTATGTTGCTTATGTTGTACATTTCCTTTTGCTGTAGGTCAATTACTGCACCTGTCTCAACTGGAGTGCCGATGGAAGTACTCTTTTCAGTGGTTATACTGATGGTGTTGTCCGAGTTTGGGGTATCGGACGTTACTAGAGCGCAGAGCGGGTTTGCTTTAGTTACTATGCTTTTAATGTACTAGTTTTTTCTTGGAAGTCTAGAAAAAGAGAAGAATATTTGGATTCTATTTTTAAGCTGTTGGCGATTTTAAATTTTGAGCTTTTTTTTTTTTAACTTGGGTACTTATTGTGTTTTGGTTGAACGAGGGTATTATGAGTTTGCATTTTTGTTGTGTTCTCTGTTTCTCCTTACTTGGCCGGGGTTTTGGTGGACCTTGTGCGTTCGTGTTTTATTAATATGACGATTGTGGTACAGTGAATAATTTTTGGTATGCTTTCACATGAGTTGGTAGTTGCTATTGTTATATTGATACGAGGATGTAATATTGTTGTTATTGGTTAATTCTTTAATGAAGAAGAAGGGTTGGAAGTGAGGTGAGTTCAGCAATGGGCCTTCTTGGGCAAAGCACTTGACCTTTCTTATTTTGAGTTGATCAATGAGTTGAGATTTGATATTTTTTAGGCTTGTTTTGCCTTGATAAAAGTACTCAAATTTTCTAGATTGGCTCGAAGTTTATGAGCTGGAGATTTGATTGAATTTTCAACAAAAAAATCTATTCAAAGGGAGGGTGTTCTCCCTTTGGGAGTTTGGTTGGGATCTTTGGTTGTTTTGTACTGTAGTTGGCTCTAGGCTGCCTTGTTGTATGCCTCCCAACTAGTTTCGGTTGTTGGCCGTTGACTAGTATGTACTTGATTTATCTTATATATAGTTTCTATTGTTGGAAAAAAAAAATGAATTTCTCTCAACCTAGAGCATCTCCAATTGATCCTTAAATTCAAATGCAAACTCAAAATGCAGTAGAGAAAAGCTCCAACTGAAATGGGATTAGGATGGTTATATACCATCCATATGCATATTGATTCTCTCTCCTCCAAAGGTATATATGAGTTTTAACAATTCATTAATGCAATAGCAATTAGGATGGTTATATACCATCCATATGCATATTGATTCTCTCTCCTCCAAAGGTATATATGAGTTTTAACAATTCATTAATGCAATAGCAATATGACCCTTCGTTATCTAATAATTTAACCGACGGAGGAGGACCCAAAACACTCTCCCTCTCCCTCACGCACAAGAAAAAATAAATTTCGGGCATCCCTTTCTCCGTGTAGCTGTCGGCGTTGGAGCACTTTTTCGGCCATGGGTTGGGCTTCACGGCGGCTGCCCTCTCTCCGGCTGTTGTCCCATGTCAATGGAGGCGGACTCCATCGCGCCGTCCTCCCCCGTCCGACGTGGTTTGTCGGGTGGATTTCCATGTTGTCAGTTCTTTCTTCTGGCTTAGAGCTTTTGGGAGTTCAGATTTAGGCTCGAATTTTGATTCCTCGCCAGATTTGTCTAGTCGCTCGAGTTCTGACCGAAATTTTTAGATCTAGAGGCTTTAGGTTTGTTTTCTCATTAAGTAGTGGTTGTGGAGGTTGGCCTATGTTCTGGGTAGTGTGACGGTTGCTGCGTGTGGTTCAATGAGAGGAGGGGAGGTTTTTTTTGTTACCATTGATTATTTTTTGTTACCACTGATTATTAAAAAAAGGTTGGCCTATGCTCTAGGTTTTTTTGTTACCATTGAGTTCTTCTCTTTGGAAAGTTTCCATTCTCTACTTTGGAGATCTGGCTGGTTCCATGATTGTGGATTTCCCTTCCCTCTCCCTTGTTGATCGTTGTGTTTTTGCGTTCTTGTTATCCTCTTCCTTCCACTCTCTTGCTTCTCTTTAATTCCGCCGAGGTTTTACTTTTCTTTAGTCCCGTTTTCCCTCTTTTTTGCTTTTTAGGGTTTCTTCTTTTTCTTACTCTTCAACTTCTTCTTTGCAGGGATCATCTCCGCGGTGCTTTCTTAATTTCTAATCATCCAAATCAAGGGGTTCTAATCTTTTCATGGAGCAAGATATAGAAGATAAGCTCCGTAAATTCCCTCTCTCAGAGAAAGAAATAGGTGGCGTTACGTTGGCTGATGGGGATGTCGAACCAGGAATAAGTGAATGTGAGCACAGTCTAATTGGCCGGATTAAAGGAGATAAAAAAGTCAGTATTGGAGGTCTCAAGGCAACTATGAATATAGTGTGGCGGCCTAAAAAACCTTTCTCTATCAGAGCAATTGGACCTAATATGTTTCAATTCCTCTTTCAGCTGGAGGAAGACAAGTTGAGGATTCTTAAGAGGAGGGGGGGGGCTGGTCTTTTGATAATCAGTACCTAATTCTGAAAGAATGGCGGAAAAATCAGGTGGATTTCTTGGAGGATGAGTTGAAAGTCCAGCTATGGGTCCAAATTCACAATCTCCCACTGCATTGGATTTCCGAACAGACGGGGTTTAAAATAGGTAAACTTCTTGGGTTTGTTAGTGAAGTGGTGATTTTGGGAATTGGCAGCGTTAATGGAAGAATAATCAGAATCAAAGTAGCTATCAATGTTCTCGAGCCTATTCTGAGAGGTACCAATTTGAGATTAGGAACGGAGGCGAAATGGATTGATTTTCGATATGAAAATTTGCTGACATTCTGCTTATACTGTGGCAAGATTGGCCACAATGATAGAAGCTGCGACACTAAAAAGGAGGATATAAATCAGAATGTGCTAAGAACAAGCCAATTTGGAGAATGGCTGAGAGCCACCCCGGGTGGTTTTACTGGGTTCATGGAAAATCGATCCCCTAGCCTAAATAGTCCAGGTTTGGTCTCTAATTCTGGTAAGGAACTTTCTTCCGGTAATGAACTGGGATTTTTTGTTGGAGATGGAAAAATTCTGATACCTCCATTGTTAACCCTGAAGCTGAAACTTCCAATAAAGGCAAGTCTAAGCTCAGTACTCTCACTGAGACTGAGGTTATCAGACCTGATAATTCTGATAATCTTGGTACCAGCTCTATTCCAATTGCAGTTTGTGAAACCATGGATCTTGATTCCTTAAAACAAACTGAGGTCCTCATGGATAGCCTTGTTAGCATTCCTGTCCAACTGTGTAACCCTCCATCTCTTCCTGCTAATAAGCCTAAAACCTTTGTTAGGGTCACTAGGAACAAATTAGCTAATAATTCTCCTTCTACCCCTAAACTTTCTTCCCTATCTCACAGTCTGCCTCAGATTCTTTAAAAAGAAAAACCCTTGCTTTTGATAACTTAGAGTCTGAACCCCAAGAATCAGTTTTCAAAAAATCTAAAACAAATTCCAATGATCCTGCAAATTTGGTGGAGGAAACCAACCATAACTGGTCCCAAGTTTCCAAATGAGAGCTTTTGTGTGGAATTGTAGAGGTAGACGTGGCCATTTGTCGGGCCGGGTCGAAACCCGGCCCGGCCCGCCGGGTCGGCGGTTCACCGTGTAGTGAACCGGGCCCGGCCCGCTTGTAACTAAGGGCCGGTTCACTGAACCGGCCCTTAACCGGCGGGTC